GCTGGTCCTTTGCTGGTTTAAACTGGTCCTTTGCTGGTTTAAACTGTCCTTTTGCTGGTTTATGCTGGTCCTTTGCTGGTTTATGCTGGTCCTTTTGCTGGTTTATGCTGGCCATGTGCTGGCAAAAGACCAGCATAAACCAGCAAAGGACCAGCTCAAACCAGCATCCCAGCGTCAAAACATACCTAACCAGCATATGCTGTTTTTTTCAACAGGGATTCCACCTCTGCAAAGTACATGTCAGACAGGCTCTGGTAAGTTTTATAGATTTAGAATATTTTAAATCCTAATGTTAATATTTCCTGTGTAACAACCATGATATGTCAACACCATCTTCCAATTTCTGAGGAAATTATTTGAAATGTTTAGATCAATTTATTCTCCTGAAGCAGGTTCTATTAGCATCTAGCATCAACAGAGGAAACAAAATGGCTACTACATGAAATCCATTTGTTTTATGAATTAAATGCCAAATTTGTCAACACCGTCAGATGTCACCACCATAAGATTTTCTGTCTGACGGTGGTGACATTTAACATAAAGTCATCATATTTTTTGTGGTTTTCAAGTCATTTTTAATTATATTAAATATAAAATAGTGTTTATTTTTTTCTAATAATGTATAAATACTAAATATGTGACCTGACAGCATATATTGCTTTTGTGGATTTTTAGTTATCACTTCTAGTCGAGTTTTTAGATGTGGAGGGAAAATAAGATTCAGGGAACATAAAGCTGAGAGAACATATAACGCTGGATAAAACATGTCTATACATAATACAGTTAGTTTGTATTCTGATAATTTTTGGATAATTTGTTAAGATGTTTAAATGTGAATGTTAAGATCCTGGTGAATGTAAATGGTTAGAGGTAACAACTAATTGTTTTATTTATTCATATAACCATAGCAGATGCACAGCAGACATACTGTTCTGAGATGAGAGAAAATAGATAATTTGTGTTCCAATGATATATCAAAATACTTAAATGTGAATCTTGAATAAAAGCTTTGTAAACAATAACATACTCACTGTTTGTTGTGTTTGTTTTAATACAGTAATTGATTGATTCAATGCATTTGATCATTAAAATGACTACAAATTCAGGCTTTTGTCACCACCAACAGATGTATCAACTCTTTCAGGTCTGTAACCTCCATCAGATGAATATTTTGATAATATTTCATTATGATATTTTATATTTGTTGTGGAATTGTTGGTCACATGTGATAGTGTAATCTGTGTGTTAACATCAGAATGTGTTTTTTGAAATGTTAAAAACATCTTGATTGCTGTTAAAGATAAAGTTGAAATTATATTACACAGTCCAAGGTAAAAAGCACATTTTGATAACAAAGAGAAAAGTTGTGGGGTTGAATCAAAGCATAGCTCAGTAGCTTAGTATACATATAAGATACATAAATGTAGTTTCATTTGTCTGAGTACAAGGTTTCATTTTTTCAATATTTCTAGTTTTGTCCCACTTCTCAAGAATCAGTGGTTTAATGTTGAATGTTTTTCGTTCAGGAATCTCTGCATTTTGAATCATGACTTTCTTGCTTGAACAAATTACATTATTACAATTTTTTTTTAAAGTAGGTGCACCTAAGCAAACCCACGTTGCTGACTATTATCGAATGTATTCATGAATGCAAAATGCAATTATGAGATAATAAGGCCAAGAAACATTAGGCATTTACATGCATTATGAGCTCATAAAACAATAAGAATATTTTAATGCACAATATATAAGTCATCTCACTGTCACTTGACATTTGTGTTGACACATACAGTATGATAGCAAAATGTATATTTTAACCAGGTGATTTGTCTGAAAATAAACAGGCCTTCGATGATAGTGAAGTTTTGAGGCATTAAAATGTAGAATGATTGGCTTTTTGACAAAAAAAAGATGGAGACTTAACAAGCAGTGCCAAAGAGAGGTTGAAGATCAGAGTTTATTGTCTATAATTTTTAGAAATGATGCACAATGACAAATACTATTTCTTCTGAATATAAACATGTTGATATTCCCTCGATGGCATGAAACGATGACAGCCATAACGGTAAATACATTCCCTCAGATTGCTTTGGGAAACTCTGAAGCTACATTTGATCTGGTAATGAATCTATTTTACAGAATATTAATCAGCATATTATAAATAATATTGCTTTGTAGCTGTTAAAACAGTTTCCATTTTTTGAAAAAGGCATGTTGAAATTTTGTAGCTGTCATTCTATGCCTGTTCTAATATGGACAATTAAGAGCTTCTTCTTTTCTCTTTACTTTTTCCCTTTTCTGAGGAATCCGCAGGGATAAACATACAGTATATAAATACAGCGTTGTTGGTGATATCCTGGGACAGGAATTCACAGACACACAGAACACACAACTCTGTATGAAGAAATAAAAATGGTCCTGGAGAAAATGTTTATATGATCATGAATGTTCATGGGTTACGAGACCCTCCTCCTGGAATTGACACGTCCAAGACTGGTGATGCTACTTTTACGGGACAGAACAGGTGTCGGGGAGGTGGGTGACGTCTCATTGGGGCAGCCGTGTTGGAGAAGAATCTCAACACACTCTTTGCTGCCGGCTTGGCGTGCCAACGTCAGCGCGGTTCTACCTTGCGGATCCTTTGACTTCACATCACTGCCGTACTGTTGAGAACAATTAAGCACAAAAGAAAACCATTAGAAATGTGCAAATGCAATCCTGAAAGTGCAAGAGTTAAAGGAATGATTCACCCAAAAATAGAATTTTCTCATCCTCAGGCCATCCAAGATGTAGATGAATTTGTTTCCTCATCAGAACAGATTTGGAGAAATTTAGCATTGCATCACTTGCTCACCAATGGATCCTCTGCAGTGAATGGGTGCCGTCAGAATAAGAGTCCAAACAGCTGATCCACACCACTCCAGTCTATCACTTAAGACCTTGTGAGGTGAAAAGCTACATGTGTGTGAAATAAATCCATCATTAAGACGTTTTTAATCTTTAAACCTTTGCTTCCATTTAAAACACAAGTCCTTTATCCATATTATTGCTTTCTCTAGTGAAAAAGTCATCTCGTCTGAATCAGGAGTGAAATATGAACAGATGAAGCACAGTTTACAAGCAAAATCGGTCTAGAACAGTTCTAAACAAATATCTTTTTGTGGATTTTGATGTGAGAGGACTTTTTCATTGGAGGAAGCATTATCATGGATTCATATTTTAGCCGGAAGCAACAGTTTAAAGTTAAAAATCCTTGAAGATGGATTTGTTTCTTACAAACATGCAGATTTTTGCTTCGCAAAACATTCATTGATGGACTGGAGTGGTGTGGATTTCTTGTGGATTATTGTGATGTTGTTATCAGGACTCTCATTCTGACGGCACCCATTCACTGCAGAGGATCCTTTGGTGAGCAAGTGATGTAATGCTAAATTTCTCTAAATCTGTTCTTATGAAGAAACAAACTCATCTACATCTTGGATGGTTTGAGGGTGAGTACATTTTCAGCCAATTTCCATTTTTGGGTGAACTATTCCTTTAACTCAAAGAAACAGGCTAAATAACTCACCCAGACCAGCAGCTGTGTCATGACCACGTCGCCCAGCTGGCAGGCCGCATGTAAAGAGCTGTGCTGCTGCTGCGCTGCTCCCTCTGGCGGGACGTTGATCACTTCCTTGGTGCTGTGCGCGAGGAGCAGCAGAAGTCTGGGAAGGTCTCTGTCGATTACTGCTTTAAGCAACCATGTCGACATTGTGTCCTCTGAACACTGAGCCGGCAAGGGCGACACAAATGCCCGCTGTTCATATTTGGCACGGATCCACGACTCCCTCTGCTCTCTGAGACAAACACAAAGCAAAAGCCAAATTATTATCATAGTGGCTGCATTAGCCATTATCTCTTTACACTGTCATGATGAAGACTGCATCATTGCAATTTTGCATTACATTGCATTTGTATGTTTTTGGTTAATGCTGCAAAAAATCATTTTCAAAATCATTATCTTAAAATACAGGTTTATGCATTTAGAAGCAAATTTGTTTGAGACTTGTACAAAATTGTGTAAGAATTATTTTCAGATAAAGAATTTGAATATAAGTGTTTCTTCTGCCATTTGTAAACTTGCTTCAAGCTGAATGCACAATTTTTGGTCATTAGGACATTTTCGAGAAATTAATAATTTTATTCAACAAGGACGCATTAAATTGATCAAAAGTGACAGTAAAGAGATTTTAACATTGCAAAAGATTTCTTGTGATGTTTCTATTCAGCCTTCTACTCATCAAAGTGTCCTGAAAAAAAAATGTAACAGGGTTTCCACAAAAAATATTTTAAAATATTATAAATATAAGCAGCACAACTGTTTTCAACACTGATAATATGTTTCTTGAGCACCAAATCTGCATATTAGAATGATTTCTGAAGGATCATGTGACACTGAAGACTGGAAGAATGATGTTGAAATTTCAGCTTTGCATCACTGGAATAAATTACATTTTAAAATATATTAAAATAGAAAACAGTTCTATTAAATTGTGATAATATTTCACAATATTGCCGTTTTTATTATTGAGTCTTGGTGGATATAGAAGACTCATTTCAAAAACACTGAAAAAATCTTACCAACCCCAAACTTTTGAACTTTGCAGTGTATGCATTTATTTCTTTTATCTTAACAGGCTAAATTTGCAGCATATGTTTTGTTTTTATTTAGCTGTGCATGCTTCATCATTTATTTCTGCTCTTCTTTGTGCCTCTGTAAAACAAAAATGACTGAACCACTGTCCACAATGACATTTCTTTACATTTAGTCAGCTAACCTTGTTGCCTCAGGTGTCAACTTTTGGTGCCCTTGTGTGCAGGTCTCCCAAATGCTGTTGGCCATATGGTTGCCTATAGCCGTAAGCACTTTTGTGAGTTCACTGGGCCAGTCGTCCAGGTCTAGTGAGCGCACGCGGGACAGGTGCGTCCCCAGGTTCCGGTGTATGCCCGAACACTCGATGCAGATTAGAGCACCAAGATTAAGACTCGCCCATGTTGGATCTGCAAGGAGACCATAATGTTTTTATATACTGAACAATGACAGAGATCTCAACATACAGTACTTTTTGTTGTTCACATTTTCAATACAAGGCATTATTTCAGCACTTACTTGGTGCTCCACAGTCCACACAGAGGTCGTTCCCTTTGGCATTTCGAATGGCCTGCAGGGCAACAGCTTCACTTTGGCTGTTCCTTCGAGCCTGAGAGTTGAAAAGTAAGTCTATTATTTTGTAATATTACAGGGCAAACAAATGAACAAATGATTGCCCTTTTATTTTAGCAGAAGGAACAACAAAAAATGAAAATATGCTGAAAATGTACTCAACCTCAGGAAATCCAAGATGTAGATAAGTTTGTTTCCTCATTAGAACAGATTTGTAGAAATGTAGCATTACATATCTTGCTCACCAATGGATGTGAATAGGTGCCGTCAGAATGAGAGTCTAAACAGCTGATAAAAACACCACAAAAATTCACTCCAGTCCATCAATTAATGTCTTGTGAAGCGAAAAGCTTCGTGTTTGTAAGAAACTAAAATTTTTCTCTGGTGAAAAAGTAATCTCGTCTGAATCAGAAGAGAAAAGTGCACCGTTCAAGGACTGTGTACAAGCGAAAACAGTCCAAAACAGTTCTAATGGACTGCAGTCGTGTGGATTACTTTGGATTACTGTGATGTGTTTATCAGCTTTTTAGACTCTCATTCTGACGGCACCCATTCACTGCAGAGGATCCATTGGTGAGCAAGTGATGCAAATTTCTCCAAATGTGTTCTGATGAAGAAACAAGCTCATGTACATCTTGGACGATTTGAGGGTGAATAGATTTTCCCCAATATATCATTTTAGGGTTAACTATTCCTTTATACAGATATACTGACCATAGAAAATTGAATGGACCATTTGATGCATATTGCACATAAGTGTTCTCAAAAGCTTATAAAGGTTTGTGCAGTAAATGTTTGTTACGCTGATAAAGATCCGATACATTTTTATTGCCCTCTTTACCTTATTTCTGCTCTCACAGCTCTGTAGACTTGCAAGGATCTGGCTTTCGATGGCCTGAACCCAGGCGTCCCTGTCCTCTTGACTTTGGGCTTCGAAATGCCAGCTCTGTCCTGTGCTGGATATGATGATGAAGTCTGCGCTCTCCTCTTCTGTTTGGGCGAGAGCAACAGTTATTTACACGAGAGGAAGGGATCAATAAAAACACCCATTGTGTCCTCTGTCTAATGTATCGTCTCAGTATAATTATGTGTTTGAGAGAGACAGGAACACAGACAGAAACACTCAAGACCCATTTGCTGTAATCTAATGATGTGACAAGAGATGGACATGGACACATACAGCAGAAAAGAGTCAGCTCAGCCACTCGTTTCATACATTCACGTTACCTGTTTTGTTAATGTTTCTCAAGCTACCAAAGCTTTTTAATTTCCACATTTTGCGCTTGGCTTGCGGTGCGAGAAATTAGTCCAGGGCGGCAGAGGATAAGAGGAAAGAAAGGAAGAAAAGACAGAGGAAAGAAAGAAGTAAAAGAGATTGTAAAAGGACCTTAAAGGAAGCAATTAATCAGGCCCACATTGGAAAAGAGAGCAAAGCAAATTCACCTCAACTATTCACCATAGTACTTATAATGATTGCTTTATCAGTGAAACTGAATCATTGTGGTGTCTGGTAATCTGTCATAACTCTGATCTCTTACCCTCAGCCTGCCCAGCCGCCGCGTCTCCTTTCAAGTTAATACTTCTGTTTCGTTTTTTCTTCTTCCTGTCAGTCATTGGAGAAGACGGGATGTGGTCTTTTCCTAAAGGAGGACTTGTAGCCCCCTCAATACTCAAGTCTGTTAAGATGATACCAAAAAATATGGCAGAAATTTCAAAACATTTTCTGCAAAAGATTCATAACCATTCTGATGATAAGTCCACACCCAAAATACAATCCCATTTGTATTAATCATATTGAGTATATTTAATTATAATAATATTAATACAATAGCATTTTATAACATTTATTATTTTATATAATTTTATTTATAAGGTATATTTCATATTTAATTTTTTAGTAATAAATGTTTTTACAGTATCAAACACGCACATTAAAGGGTTAGTTCACCCAAAAATTAAAATTAGGCTGCGTTTTACTCACCCCCGAGGCATCCTAGGTGTATATGACTTTCTTCTTTCAGATGAATCCAGTCGGAGTTATATAAAAAATTGTCTTTGATCTTTCAAGCTGTTTAATGCCACTCAGCGGGTGTTGCATTGCTTCAGTCCAAAAGAAGTTAAATAAAAATCGCCCATCCATAAAAAAAAAGTGTCTCACACTTATATCCATATTCATCTTCTTCTTTGGGTTTTAACGGCAGCTTGCTATCCATATTCAAAACGTAATAATCACTTTAATGTAGCTTGCGCCAACAGTTGTACACAGAAGCAGTTCCGGGAGCATGCCGTATGAGGTCAGCGTTGCGCATGAAATGAATTTCTCGTGAAAACCAACGTTTGTTTACAGGAGCAAAGGAAGCAAAGTTTCCTTACTTTAGCAAAGGAAAACCAGTCTCCTCTTGGTTTATATCGAAATCCTCCGACATTCTTCTTTACAAATCCTCGTTTTGTACTTCTAATTCTTGACCGTTGTTTTGTTTTGATCTCTCCCTTGCGCTTCCACATTCGTCACTTCTGAGCGGCGCATGCGCAAAGCCGACCTCATACGTAATTCCCCCGGAACTGCTTCTGTTTACAACAGTGAGCGCAAGCTAGATTCAAGTGATTATTACGTATTGAATATGGATATTTTTCTTACAAAAACGCATTAATTCACTACAGAAGGCTTTTGTTCACCCCCCGGAGCCGTGTGAGACACTTTTTTTTTTATGGATGGGCGATTTTTATTTAAGTTTTTTTGGACTAAAGAAATGCAACACCCGCTGAGTGGCATTAAACAGCTTGAAAGATCAAAGACAATTTTGAATATAACTCCGACTGGATTCGTCTGAAAGAAGAAAGTCATATACACCTAGGATGCCTTGGGGGTGAGTAAAACACAGCCTAATTTTCCTTTTTGGGTGAACTAACCCTTTAACATTGAATGTAACTAATAAAACTAATGCTGGCAGTCATGAACCTCTGTATTTAACTAAATATTTTGGTACAAATAAAAATTTCATTGAGTGATATGACTTCTAAAAATGAACTGTCAAAATGAATAGATCTGCATATGAACCAACAACTGAAATGAAACAACTAAATGTTGGAAATAAAGTGCTGATGATGTCCAGTTAGTAGCGTTTCTACTATTAAAGGAACAGTTCACCCAAAAATGATCATTTTGTCATCATTTACTTACCCTCATGTCAAATCTGTATATATTTCTTTCTTACGTTGAACACAAAAGAAGATATTTTGAAGAACCAAACAGTTGTTGGTCCCTATTGACTTCCATATTAGGGAAAGAAATACTGTGCAAGTCAATGGAGACCAACTATTTGATTACCAGCATACTTCAAAACATCAGAAAGAAACTCATACAGGTTTGGAACAACATGAGGGTGTGTAAATGTTGACAAAATGTTAATTTTTAGGTGTTTCTACTATTAAAGGAACAGTTCACCCAAAAATGATCATTTTGTCATCATTTACTTACCCTCATGTCAAATCTGTATACGTTTCTTTCTTACGTTGAACACAAAAGAAGGTATTTTGAAGAACCAAACAGTTGTTGGTCCCTATTGACTTCCATATTAGGGAAAGAAATACTGTGCAAGTCAATGGAGACCAACTATTTGATTACCAGCATACTTCAAAACATCAGAAAGAAACTCATACAGGTTTGGAATGACATGAGGGTAAACTATACCTTTAAATAGTTATTCTTCAACACTGTTACAGAAAGAATGAGTAGAAACCATAAACAAAATATTTACGTACCCACACTGAAGCCTTTATTAGACACAGATGATGGGCAACGTTTCACCTTCTGATCATTATTAAATGACAAACCACTTCTTGACGCCTCTTCTACTGTCAGAAGATTTGCTGGGGAAAAAAACAAAAAAAAACAGAAATCATGGCATTGAGAAATCTTTCAAATTGCTTTATTATTGATCGAGTACATTTGAAAATGAGAGAGAGAGAGAAAAAACGTTTTTCATTTACATGTAGCTCCCCCTTCGGATGACTGCTTGTCTTTACTGAGTCCATTTACACCGGGCGCAGGGGCGAGAGTAGGGCCAGGGGACGGTCCACCGGGAGTAGCTGCGCGATGAAGACGCTTTCCTGGCACCTTCACTGTAACTCGCAATAAGTCCATCTCCTTACCTTGAGCATTCTGCAAAAACTCCTGCAATCATACATACTGCATATAGTATGAGCAATAGTTACACAATCTAGAATACGCTGGTTCTTTTCGACAGCCAAAAATAGCACAACATAAATTTATAAATACTATAATGCAAAATAATGCAAGTACCATTGATTTTTTGGAAAACATTTGAACCATTACAAGCAAATGACAAATCCACACCCAAAATATAATTATAAGAATTTATAATATAACAATATAACATAATTCTATAATGGAAAAATGAAAAATGTGATTATAAAAACAGAAGTGTACAGGAAGCATTTAGTGCTCTGTAAACAGAAAACCGTATTGCAAATTGCAAAACAGCCTTACTCACATTTATATTTGAATGATACATAAGCATGCCGTTGTTTGACAGCGTCACATACTTCTTCTTCCACTCCTTATTTAAAGAGCGTTCACTGCGTTTCCACAAAGTCCCCTAACAAAGAAAATGCATTCATTGTTTTCAGAATGCAGTGAGATTCAGACATTTAAAAGTGTCTTCTACATGTCCAAAAACTTTCTGGGGCCTCACAGAAGTCTTGTCCTCAAGTCAATGCTGACGTCTTACACTTACCTGTTTAATAGGAACTGATCGACTGCTCATGTCACTTCTGCTATCAGAAGCTCTTTTTTCAGAATCACTCCCGCGACGGTTCTAAAATAGCAGACAAGTTAAATAAAGTACAGACGAGAGGAAGGTGAAACACATAAAGGAAGGAAACAGATGTGACTCATGAGATGAGGTGAATTTTAGAGTGACAACGAGAGTTCACATACAGAAACTAGGACTAATGATACAGTCATGCTTCTGCTTTATTGGACAGCATTTGAAGGTGAAGTGTGAAATTTCTGCACCAAAAAGAAAACAATGAATGTTTTTGAACAGGTTTCCCAGTCAACATCAAACAATGACACACATCACCTCTGATATATCATTCAGATTTAAGTCCAATTGTATTTGAAAATATGAAAGATATAATATCACATTTTCTGTACCGTTTCACTGGTGTTGCACAAAATCTACCTGGCAAGATTTGATCATCTTTGTAATGAGCGCAAAGAACTAACCGCAAAGAAAGATGTCCGTCGTCGGGGTAGATTTCTTTGCGAGCCCCCATCTCCACTTGCCCCACCCCGTATGTCTTTGTGACTTACCACAGGGGTAGAAGGCAAAGAGGAGGGGTAATCACTACTCTGACCCCCATTACTGGCCTAAGAAAGGATGATGGGATGGAGAGAAGAATGAGACAGAAGTTGGAATGGTGAATGTTGATGAAGACAAGAAAAGTTTCACGATCACTCAAAACAGTCAAATACTCAACAACAGGAGTGTAAAAATGTGCGATGCATTGGTCTGACATTTTTATTTGATACATTTAAAAATGCAATCAATTTTAAAATGTAATAATTTATAAATGATCTATAATAAAATATAACTTTAATTTCTTGTCCAAGAAAGTTATTTTAATTATTATAAATTATTATAATTATTTATGTAAATAAAAATGATCATACCATTGTACTGAAATAAAATTCAACCAAAATGTTGTGATTTTCTGCATAGCATATAATTAAGCAAAGAATATTTAATGCAGATTTTTTGCAATTTTTAACACTCCAACAATATTGACAGAACAACACCATCACGGTTTTAATTAAAATACTTCACAAGAATTATAAAGATAAAAGTGTCAATCTCACAAAGAAATGTCCAGGTCATATTTAAAAAAAAAAAAAATTTATGTTATGTTTAAGATATTTAAAAATATATATATAATAGAATTCATGACATAAATGTAAGTGTTTAATTTAATTTATTATTTACATATTTTTTTTAAATTTACATTTACATATTTTTTGCATTATAGTAATGACAATTAGATTCACCCCCACATTTAGAACTGAAAGAAAGGAGAAAGTGACCCAGACATTTTTGACAGCTTTCATGAGATTCATCCAAGCATCAGACAGACTCATGAGGCCTGAGATACCTGTCCGGGCCCTGACACTGGAGTCGAGGCCCCTGAGTGACTCGGAGAGTTTGGGAGGGATTTACAGGAGGCCAGAAGGGCGGCTTGCTTCTTGGCAGCGGCAATCTTGTGAGTCACTAAGTGGGAAACAAGACTGTCCAATCAACACTTGCATCCTGTTCAGAAGTATTGTGCTATTTTAGCCCCTATTTTGAGATGAAACTCACTTTCATTAAATACTCTGTCCACATTAAGTCCATATGTGGCACAGGTCTCAAAATAAGTGCAGCGACGCACATCTATACACAGCTGCTGGACTCTCTTGTCCTCAATCACACGTGCATTAGTGCTACTAATCTTATCTGCAGGAAGAAAAACAAGCATATAGTTTGTACGCAATGTCATATCACTCAATATATCACCCCGGAACCAAGACAAAAGTAGCTCTAACCTTGCGTTCCAACCGCTATAATGGGGATTTCTGCAATGTTACGATGTGCGCTTAGCTCACTGTAGTTTTTGTACACATCCTGGAAACTTGCTTCATTTTCCAGACTAAAAACTAGGATGACGCCATCAAGCCAGTTGCAGATCTACAATCACAAATTAGGAATGAAAAAGATGGAAAAAAGGAATAGCTTTTAAAGAAATAGTTCAACCAAAAATTTTTATTTGCTGATAGTTAATCACCCTCAGATTTGGAAAGACATTATAGCCAGAAGCAAATGGTTTAAAGTTGAAATGCCTTAATGATGGATTTGTTTCTTATAAACATGTAGCATTTTGGTTCGCAAGATGTTAATTGATGGACTGGAGTCATGTGGATTACTTATGGATTACTGTGTTGTTTTTATCAGCTGTTTGCACTCTCATTCTGACGGCACCCATTCACTGCAGAGGATCCACTGGCGAACAAGAGATCTAATTCTAAATTTCGCCAAATCTGTTCTGATGAAGAAACAAACTCCTCTACATCTTGGATGGTTTAAGGGTGAGTGAATTTTCAGCAAATACTTTGGGGTGAACTATTCCTTTAAAGCAGAATACACTACTGTTCAAAAGTTTGAGGTCAGAAAAGTTAGATTTTTTTTCAGAATGCAACACGTTTATTTAGCGAAAATGCTTTAAATTGTTCAAATGTGACAGTAAAGATATTTCGAATGTTACATAAGATGTCAATTTCAAATAATTGCTTTTTTTATGTTGTATTCAATAAAGAATCCAGAATCCAAAATGTTATAAAATTTTCTACAAAAAAATTAAGCAGCTGTTTTCAAAGTTGATAATAAAAAGAAATGTTACTTGAGCAGCAAATGAGCATATTAGAATGATTTCTGAAGGATAATGTGACACTGAAGTGTAACATTACTGTGTGTAATGATGCTGAAAATTCAGCTTTGGAATCATAGGAATAATTCACATTTGAAAATATATTCAAATAAAAAAATTGTATTTGAACTTATAATAGTGTTCTACAATATTATTGTTTTTACTTTATTTTTGATCAAATAAATGCAGCCTTGATGAATCTGCCTTCTTTCAAAAAAAATTTTTTTTTAAGTTACTGAATCCAAACTTTTGAATGCAAGTAAAAGTTTATCTCTGTTTTAAATCTTTTGGCATTATAAGGCCCCAAAATATACTCTACCTGAATATGTACATGCAAATGTTTCTTGCTACGTAAGCTCAATTTTGTGATTTCTTCAAAATGTGTCAGAAGCAGTTCATAAAACATAAGAATGCAGAATTCTTAAAGGGGTCATATGATGCGATTTCAAGTTTTCCTTTCTCTTTGGAGTGTTACAAGCTGATTGTGCATAGATAAGATCCCTGAAGTTGCAAAGACTAAAGTCTCAAACCCAAAGAGATATTCTTTATCAAAGTTAAGACTCTGCCACGCCCCCCTAAAATGCCTCGTTCTAACACACACCCACATGTCTACCTCACTATGTGGAAATATTAGCATAATGCCGCCCAAATGTGCACGCAAAGAAAGAAGGCGTGGTTTCAGGAACAGCAGTTAGTGTTGAAGCAGCATGTCAGGGAGACGCTGTGTGTTTCTAGGCGAAAGCAAAAGCACTTTATTTGGCCTTCCGAAAGTAGATGCATTTAGGAATCTTTAAGATTACTTACAACAGAACAGCAATGCATTTTATGGACGACCGTTTCGTGAACCTAGGAGAGGAGGTCATTCTGACTTTGCTATGACAATCTGGTATTTGCTATTGACTGTTCAAATGTGGAATTTTGCACATCGTGTGTGTGCGAGCAAACGAGCGAGAGAGGGACAGAGAGAGCGAGAGAGATCGAGAGATAGGGAGAGCGAGAGAGAGAGAGAGGGGGGGGGGGTCACATCACAGTGGAGTCAGCTGTCTTAACCGTGGCTTGTGTACTGCACACATACCAGCTTCATCACTGTGTCTGTCACGAGACTCTGTTCCCCTTTCGGGCTTGAACTGATGGTAAAACTAATGACATTATTTACTGTCTTTACATTTATTTTGAAAGCTGAAGCTCGAGATTATGGTAAGTGGCGTTACATTTCCAACGAGTCCTTGCGGTGTTCGACCAATCACAATGCACTGGGTCAGCTGGCCAATCAGAGCAGACTGTGCTTTTCGGAAGGAGGGACTTTGTAGAAAACGAAGCGTTTGAGAGAGGCGGGGCATAGAGGACCTACAATAATGTACAGTATTTGAAAAATAATGTGTTTTTTGAACATTAAAGCATGTCAACATATTCTGTTACACCAAATACACAAAATAATGATCTTTAAAAAAGCATCATATGACCCCTTTAATATTTCCTATATTTGCTGTTACGTAATTGCAAAAATTCTTCTTCAATTTCTAGTTAAACACATCTGGTTTAATGGGCCGGACAACTTGCTGGTGGTTTGTTACCGCCACACTACTGTTAAGTATAAAAAAGAGGAAGATGCAAACTTTACCCAAATATTTCTGTCTTGCATACTGTGTTTCTGTCTCAAGTGTACTGAAATTAACACACCTGTGCACTTGGTGGTCCAGATTCCTCTCGAATCAGCAATAAATGACTCTGTCCCTCCACCAGCACCTCTTTTTTATACCTTCCGCCTTCCAGAGAAGAAAAAGAGGACAAAAGCGAAAAATAAGATAACAATAATGCCCCTAAATGGTTAAAATGACAGTCCTCATAGCACAGATGAGAAACAACGAAGTTCTCACCCTCATGCGACTCAAGTGGAAGATAACTTCCTGTGATGAATCTGTTTACCAGAGCAGATTTTCCGCTGCGAAGGCTACCCAGAACCCCCTGTATGCGGCAGAAAGAAAATATTCTTACTCCAAAAAACAACATTTATATCAGTATGACATTGTTTAGATCTCATCTGAAACTCCTGAGGACACATTTGAGACTACTAGGGTCTTTTCTCATGAGAAGCATAAGCAGGATTTAAGCAAAAGTCTCCATTTATCCTCTTTTAATTTTGTTGGTGTTTAGTAGAAACATTTTGGATTTTAAAGAGATCTCATTTTAGATTTTTTTCCCCCCTAGAGGCAAGGATGTATCCTTACTCAACAGTATGACAAAAATGAAAAATAAATCTTTTTAGTGCACTTAACCAACTGAAATATTGTTTTCATAGATGTATGCCTAAAATGATTTGAAATTGTTGTTTACATGCTTAAGGAATTAAAAAAAGAAATAAATAAGTAAGTGTTTTTCTCACCAATCGCAGTTCTGGAATAGCACGAGTTAGGGTCCATTCCTGGCTATTGGCACATGATGCTGACAAAAAAAAAAGTCAAAGTTAAGTCATAACTTCAAATCAAAGACGAAAACCCCTCTCCCCCATGCTATGACACTGCAGTGTGTTTGAGAGGCTTTTAATGTGTTTGTGTTTTAATGTGTTGCAATGCAGTTTCTAAGTGGTTTTGGGTGGTTTCCGAAGAAAAAAAAATCTGTCTCCAAGTTGTATATTCTATATTTAACAGGGTGACCCCTTTTGACTGAAGTGTTGGGGTTAGTTTTACCTGCAGTCACCAAACTCATTCTCATGAAGCCAGACAACTTTCTATACTATAGTCATTAGTTCCGCCCAACAGGAAATAGGCTATTTTTGATTTTTTTTCAAGCCTTTAAACACTCATGTGATCATCGCCAAACTTAGTCAACATTACACCAAAACACTGAAGATGCCGAAACAGATTTTTGATATCTCAAAAGGTGTTCCATTGGCATGGTATTAAACCAATGACAAAAAGAAGGTAAACAGGAAGACTCTCGAAACCGACTTAATTTGCTCGGGCGGGTTTGAAATGCATGTGGCAAAAGTGAAGCTTATCCATCCAGCTGCCTATGGATTTAGATACTGCCTGCGTCTAAAACCAATGCTTCACCTCCAGTTTAGAGTGCTAAAATTCATGGCTGGATATGGTTTGAAATTAAGAGGCTGGTGATGAAAGGATTGAAGCTTCCGTGAAAGAATGAGATCAGAATACAGGAAGTGGGCGGAACATCAAAGATGGGATTAGGATGTTGGGCAAAATTATGATGCCTGTGGCATGGGTATTATTAAATTTGTTTCCCATTCCAATTTTTCCAGTGCAGAAACAGAAACAGTAGGGGGTGGTTATAAAGAAAAGGCTAGGATGCGTTCAGTGTCTTAAAACTACATCCCTAGGCATTAGAATTAATAAAAACAGAATTCCCCTAAATGTGTGTATAGACTTCCACATGTCAGTTTTTAAAATGAATGTGAACCTAAACAAGAAGAACACTGTATCAGTTGAATAAATAATAAAAAGTGCCATCCGTCCTCATGCCATTCCAAACCTGTATGTCTTTCTTTCTTCCTTGGAATACAAAAGATGTTTTTACGCAGAACGGCACCGTGCAGGAATACCCTGCTCTCTCCATCTCCTGCTTCTCTCTCTCTCTGCCCTTGTCACCAGCCAGACAGCTCCCAGCCCCTGCTTTCCACAGCCTGCTACCCCCTCCTCTCGCTCTCCCTCCCTCCCTCTCTTTTCTCTCGCCTGCACACTCTCTCCTGCTTAAAAAGCGAGAATCAGTGATGTGTTGAGGAATAAAGACAGACTGTAAAGCTTGCGAGGTTCTGACAGAGAAAGAGGGTCAACCGCACAAGTAAAACACAAATATGTGGTTATGTGCAAAGCTAATCAAGACTGACACATCAATCCAGCAAATTTTGCACCAGTGCCGTATCAGGCAGCAATGTGCCACATGTCACATTCACAGTCAGTACAGTGATTCAGGAGCCGCCGTGTCCCCCCACCTTTTCTTTCCTAGACACTGAGCTTGCTTGTTACCAAGGTATTCTGAGGCTAAACTCCTCCTCCTTCATGCACTGATTCCATCTAGTCTCTGGCTCCCATTCGCTATCTCCATATCTTACCCTCTGCTCTGTGCACTCACTGTCCTTGCCAAGGTGTGTATGAATGAGTAAGTGATTGTGTGAGGGCATGCAATATTATTGACAAATTTACTGACTGATCTGTTTGTCAAGTGGGCTTGATTAAATTGTACATTGAGTAAATACTACACTCGAATTGATTCAATAGACTCTCAGAAAAAAAAGGTACAAAAGCTGTCTCTGGTGCAGAACCCTTTCAAAAGGTACTAATATGCACCATTTAGATACTAATATGTACACCTTAGGTACTAATATGTACCTTTAAGATACTAATATGAACCCGTTAGGGTACAAAGGTGTACCTTTTGAAATATCGCCTCAGTGACAGCTTTTGTACCTTTTTTCTGAGAGTGTAGCAGGGATGAGTAAAAAAAAAAAAGCTGTCCCATGCAAGACTATTTGGATGTCTGGAGAAAAAGAAAATTACATCACCCCATTGAAACTATATATATATATATTTATATATATATATATATGTGTGTGTGTGTGTATATGTATGTATGTATATATATATATATATATATATATATATATATATATATTTCTAAGAAATAATCTTGTAGAGGAAGGAGTTGCCTTTTTATTGACAGTCGTATTGAGTTTACAAATCAATAATATATGCTATTGATTGCTATCAATCATGAAGGCAGGTGTCATATAGAACACAATTCAACTGAACATTTAGGAAGAGGGCATTCAGTTATTTGTTTGAATGTCTCTCATTTTCTTTTCTTTTTATTGATTTGCTTCTTTATTGATTAGTCACTATTACTATTGCTCATAGTTAAGGTTAGGGATTTCAAAAAACTCTTAAAGGGACAGTTCACCCAAAATTCCCCACTGAGATGTTTTTCAAAATATCTGATTTTGTATTCCACAGAAAAACAAAATGCAAGCAGGTTTGGAATGGCATGAGTAGCTTAAATTCTGAAAGAACTTACCCTAGCAACCAACCACAAGATGCTAGTCTAGCAACACACTAGAAACCTCTCAAAGCACCTTATTAACTGCATAACAACATCCTGGCAAGCACAGATAAACGCCACTCACATTGTCATCAGAAAATACAAAGCACTACTTTGTTTATATATATAACATATTATTGTGCTGCTAACTATAAAATTTCACCGTAGACATCTCTGTTTTGGAGATCTCACACTCATAAATATATTTTCCCCTTTCTCTTTCTTCCCTAGTTCGCTGTCACTCTGCCTGTCTCCCACTCTCTTGGCTCCCTGCAGTAAGCAACATTTAAATGTGTCAGTCCTATTCTCAAATCCCTATGCTCAGAAGCCAACAGCAATGACTTCCCCTTTACAGTTTCCTTCACTTTTATTTTATTCCCATCAAGCATAATTTGAATCATCATATGACTATGTGGGCTACATAAATCATATTCAAAGAGCATCCTCTTGTTTTCTTACTATTTGATCTGGTCTGTTCTGCAACTTTGTTTACAGACATCATTAGTGATGCTGGTTACTGCAAGTGAACAAATGGAAAACAATAAAATGGGATAAAAGTCTAGGGACTATATGATATAATTAATATCACAAGCAACCAGAATACCTCAGAGACCACCCAGGATATCTTAACATCACTGTGGCAAGTTTTACATACAGTAAGTACTGAAAATATCTTGTTTTAATTTTAGTTCTGGCTTACAGAGAAATAAGGTGTAAGATTATGCTCATAAAGTCTTCATATTGAGCCAGTGTGACGGATGCATAAAAACGCTTACAACAGGAAGTGCGAGGAGGAAGTAAATTATAAGGAGTATCAACAAACACTATATTAAAGATGCATTAGTCAGTGACACCATATATTCTGACCTTAAAACATGCACTCGTCTATGCTTAAAGCTAACACAGTATATAAATGTTTATAAATGTATAAAAGTTCAGAATTGAACTTTATGTCCTGCTCGATCGATACCAGATTCAATCAAATCAGACAACAAATTTCCACACAAAAAAAAGTGTAATCTTGTGGAACGAAAAATAATTAGGTCAGATACTAATCGTAAGAGTAGCACTCAATAGACAGGTGGTGCCTGAGATGGAGAGGATGTGGCTTTGGTGGGCAGCAAGAGAGCGTCAGACAGGAAATGGACCAGCACTTCGTGTTCAAAAGCTTACCAGCATGACGACGTCTCTAAGATGGTGCTAATGTTTCAACCTGGGCCTCTTTAAATTCACATCCACGATTCTGATTCTACATCCGGACTGTAGTAACAGTTCATCATCACAGACTAATGGAGGAGCATGTGCATTTGGAGACGTCTGCTGGATGTATAATTCAATTTAACACGAGTTAAAACATTTATGTTCCTTTTTATCTGTCTGCCTTCTCTAAAATATACATTTGGGACATTTTATAATATGACATTATTACAAAACGCAAGATAGTGAATATAATACTGCAAATACTAGCAGTCAAAAAGCCTAATTCCTCGCAAATGTGCATTTTAACTTACACAAGGAGCTTATGAACGATTAGTAAACTTGTTTGCTTCTGAGGATGATCTAGATACGAAATCCTATCAGAATCTGGCTCCAACATAGAGTTAAACTCAAACAGCGTGCAAGTCAGTCTTGGTAAGTCCAGACCCCTAAAGACCCTGAAGTCAACATCACACCTTGCAAAACGATATACGGGAATCTATCAGCAAGTGTTTTAGGGGACAAAATCAACAATTTCATGACAGGCTCACCTTGAATGCTGTGGAGGAAAACCTTTAGTCCTGTCCTGAGCTGCTGGTCCTCAACCCTCTCCAACTGTTTGAGAAATTTGTTTATGGTGTTTTGCAAGCTTTGATGTCTTCTCACCTCAGCTCTAATTGCAGTCGAGTGTGTAACTTTATTTGTGCTATTCATATTTAGACCAATGTGACTGCTCAAAATGCATGGAGTTTCTCCTGTAACCCATCAGCATTTCCTGCCCGTTCTTTCATGTCAATGTCACGTACAGAAGCAGAAAGCTGCTCAGACTCTAGGTATGCAGCTCAGAGCAGAAGTAGTTTGCTTGCATGAATTTCCTCTCTCTCTCTCTCTCTCTTTCTCTCTCAATTCACTTCCTGATTTTAAAAAGAGTCACCATCTCATAGGCTGCTTTCTCGCAAACAGGATTTTGTGGTAAATTCAAGGCAACGGTTACAAGAAATAATAAGACTTTGGTTTCAAACTGCAAATAAGGTTTCAAAAAGACATACTCACGTCTATTTTCAGATTTAGAGCTGCAATGGTAAAACCTCAGTACTGATGTGGAGAAAAAACATATGATACCAATGATACAAACAGGTTTGTCAGACAAGGGTAATTTTCATAAAGGTTATGTCAGGACAGATTGTTTTAATGTTATATATTTTAATTATATAATAAACAATTAACAATCAATTAATAGTTCGATTTTTCTTTTTTATATTTCATATAATAGGCTATTTAATAGTATGTTCCTATTATGGCCACTTATTATGATTATACTTAAAGGGCAATGCTGTTTGTCAGAAATTCGGGCCGTTTTGTCAATATCTGGGACAATACAAGTGTTACAAGTTTAAATGTAAAAATTACTTAATTTATTATTTATAATAGGCTATCTGTTATTGGCTTAAGTTATTATTAGAATTTGTAATATTTTATATAATATGCTATAATAATGGTTCTAGGTATGCAGCTCAGAGCAGAAGTAGTTTGCTTGCATGAATTTCCTCTCTCTCTCTCTCTCTCTCTTTCTCTCTCAATTCACTTCCTGATTTTAAAAAGAGTCACCATCTCATAGGCTGCTTTCTCGCAAACAGGATTTTGTGGTAAATTCAAGGCAACGGTTACAAGAAATAATAAGACTTTGGTTTCAAACTGCAAATAAGGTTTCAAAAAGACATACTCACGTCTATTTTCAGATTTAGAGCTGCAATGGTAAAACCTCAGTACTGATGTGGAGAAAAAACATATGATACCAATGATACAAACAGGTTTGTCAGACAAGGGTAATTTTCATAAAGGTTATGTCAGGACAGATTGTTTTAATGTTATATATTTTAATTATATAATAAACAATTAACAATCAATTAATAGTTCGATTTTTCTTTTTTATATTTCATATAATAGGCTATTTAATAGTATGTTCCTATTATGGCCACTTATTATGATTATACTTAAAGGGCAATGCTGTTTGTCAGAAATTCGGGCCGTTTTGTCAATATCTGGGACAATACAAGTGTTACAAGTTTAAATGTAAAAATGACTTAATTTATTATTTATAATAGGCTATCTGTTATTGGCTTAAGTTATTATTAGAATTTGTAATATTTTATATAATATGTTATAATAATGGGTTATAACTTATTCTATACAGTGTCAACATGTCGCTTTATTTTGTACTAAATATTTTAATGTATGTGACTACATAAACTGACATTCAGAAATAAACCTATCCTGAGAAATAGTAACTGGACTGAAATGTGTGACAATTAGCCTCAGCCTACCCTATACAATACCATAAACATATAAAGTAATATTTGGCATTTATGGGAATTTCTCGCATGAGATGTAAAAACGTTCCTAAATATGAATTTCATAGTGTCATCAGGGATTCACAGTGTCTGATTCAGAACGTGGGCCTGTCTTTATCATCAGTCCTCAATGCAGCATCTTGTGTCTCACACCCGTGACGACAGAGGGCGGGGCTGAAGTGTGACGCGGTTTGTTGCTACTCTGTTCAGCCAATGATGCTTAAGCAGCACACAAGCTTACTTCAGCGCTGTTTTAAATATCAGTCAACAAGGTGCGACGGCTCGCTATTTACTGTAATCATTAAACCAGAACCCTCTTATTATTATCTCAATAAACATAGTAATACCCCGAAGCATTATAAACAAACTGCATGTGAAAATGATGACTTTGTGTGCAATAAAATACTTGCCTTCTGTTTCATGAAGCATGCGTGTTTGTGGAGACAGGTGGGCAGATTTACTGTGAACCCGTCCCTGACCATGTCTTCATCTCTTTAAGATGCTTAAGGTTTTTAATCAAATGAGTATGATGGCTTCTGTGGGATAATTAACAGCGAACTTGTTACATTATGATAATGCGCGTGTGCTATTTGGTGGCAGAAGCGTTTGCTATCGCGAGAGGACAAGGAACGATAGTTCTATATTATATAATTGTATTCTATTTTATATTAATATTATATTAATTTCAAACACTTCCAAAGGGAAGCCAGGTGTGTTTCCCCCCCTGGCCTTGAATATGGATTTATTATTTTTATTTTTTATGATTGAATATTTTGGACACCCCGGCTGTTCTTTGTATAATTTTCATACGGTAGGTTTTTATGTCAACGAAAATGTTCATGGCAAAGATTAGGAAATTCTCTCTCCTGGCGTCGAATCGCGTGTATTACAAGCAAAGCACGTGAGAGAAAGTTCTTCCGCTGGAGGGTCTGCGGTAGCGATTGACGTCACCGGCTGGTTCAGCCATAGAGATGGGAACCGATTTCCGCGAATCAGTTCTTTCGAACGATTCTTATCAAAGAATCAATTAAAACGATTCAGCGATTCCTTTATTTCATGACCTACTTGCTTCATCACGTAGTCCAATGACATTCCGGTGTACATCCTTTAGAAACGTTTCTGTATATGGAACACATTTCTGTTTATTCCCTGCTTTGTTCATTTCATGAACGAATTTAAAGTATTCTACTCCTCACTGAGATTACTTCAAAATTGTCGTGCCCCGAAAATATCATCGGACATGTCCAAGTTTCTTGTGTTTTAATTTTATTTATTTTTTGCCTTACATGTATTGTATTTGGTTTTATTCTATGCTGTTACCTCTATGAGTTCTTGTATTCCACGTTTAATAAATAAAAAAGATCAAATAAAATAAAAACATTTCTGTTTATTATGTTTTATTTCAGTTTTAGTAACAAGAGTAGTTAATGGTAGTTTCATGTGTATTAGTTCAGTTTGTTGCAGCTGTGATTCAGATATTGAAATATAGTTATTTAGAACCAAAATATAATTTACATTGGCATTAAACAATGAAAATGTTCGTTTAGTCGCTGACTCCAGGGGCCAGTTGCATAAACTTAAAGGGGTCATATGATGCGATTTAAATTTTTCCTTCCTCTTTGGAGTGTTACAAGCTCTTGGTGCATAAAGAAGATCTGTAAAGTTGGAAAGACTAAAGTCTCAAATCCAAAGAGATATTCTTTATAAAAGTTAAGAGTCAGCCACGCCTACCTAAAACGGCTCATTCTAACACGCCCCCACATGTCTACATCACGATGTGGGAAGATTTGCATAGCGCCGCCCAAATGTTCACGCAAAGAAAGAAGGCGTAACTTTTATTCTCGCTGTAGTATTGTTGCTGCCGCCGCCACCATGTCGTGAAGCCGCTGTGTGCTTCGTTGTGAAAGCGAAACTACTTTGTTTGGTCTTCCAAAAGAGGACGATATCCGCTTCGTCATGTCTGGAGCTGATCTGTGCTGGTCGCTGAGGAAATACAACAACTTTCCCCCGTGGACGAAGCGGATTCGTCGGATCCGCCGGGCGTGCCGTTCTCGACCCCGCCGCCTCAGCTCACTCTTGCCC